ACCCTATGGGTTGTCTGTGTAGTCTGCTGACTGTTCCTTTTGCTGTGCAAAAGCTCTTTAGCTTAATATAGTCCCACATATTTATCTTTGTTTTTATTGCATTTGCTTTTCAGTTCTTAGTCGTGAAATCCTTGCCTAAGCCAATGCCTGGAAGGGTTTTTCCTATGTTATCTTCTAGAATTTCTATAGTTTCAGGTCTTAGATTTAAGTCCTTGATCCATCTTGAGTTGATTTTTATATAAGGTGAAAGTCAGGATCTAGTTTTATTCTCCTACATGTGGCTTGCCAATTATTCCAGCACCATTTGTTTAGTAGGGTGTATTTTCTCCACTTTATGTTTTTGTTTGCTTTGTCAAAGATCAGTTGGCTATAAGTATTTGGGTTTCTTTCTGGGTTCTCTCCTCTGTTCCATAGGTCTCTGCCTATTTTTTTTTTTTTTTTTTTTTACCAGTACCATGCTGTTTTGGTGACTGTGGCCTTATAGTATGGTTTGAAATCAGGTAATGTGATGTCTCCAGATCTGTTCTTTTTGCTTAGTCTTGCTTTGGTTATGCAGGCTCTGTTTTTGGTTTCATATGAATTTTAGGATGGTTTTTCTAGTTCTGTGACAAATGAGGGTGGTAATTCGATGGGAATTGCATTAAATTTGTAGATTGCTTTTGGCAGTGTGGTCATCTTCACAATATTGATTCTACTCATTTATGAGCATGAGATGTGTTTCCATTTGTTTGTGTCATCTATGGTTTCTTTCAGCAATGTTTTATAGTTTTCCTTGTAGGGAGATCTTTCACCTCCTTGGTTAGGTATACTTCTAAGTATTTTATTGTATTTTATTTTTTGCAACTATTGTAAAAGGGTTTGAGTTCTTGATTTGATTCTCAGCTTGGTTGCTGCTGGAGTATAGCAGAGCTGCTGATTTGTGTACATTAATTTTGCATCCTGAAAACTTTGCTGAATTCATTTATCAGTTATAGGAGCTTTTTGGAGGAGTCTTTAGGGTTTTCTAGGTATACAATAATATCATTAGCAGTGACAGTTTGACTTCCTCTTTACTAATTTGGATGCCGTTTATTTCTTTCTCTCGTCTGATTGCTCTGGTTAGGACTTCCAGTACTATGTTGAATAGAAGTGATGAGAGTGGCCATTCTTGTCTTGTTCTAGCTTGTCTTGTTCCAGTTCTCAGGGGGAATGCTTTCAACTTTTTTCCATTCAGTATTATGTTGGCTGCGGTTTTGTTATAGATGGCTTTTATTACATTGATGTGTGGATGTTCCGTTTTTAAAAAAATTATTTGATTCAGCATCCCAGTACTGTGTATCTACCCAGAGGAAAATGAGTCATTAAACAAAAAAGATACTTGCACACACATGTTTATAGCAGCACAATTCTCAATTGCAAAAGTATGCAATTGAGAAAAACCAGCTGAAATGTCTGTCAATCAATGAGTGGATAAAGAAATTGTGGTATATATACACTATGGAATACTGCTCAGCTATAAGGAGGAATGAAATAATGGCATTCACATTAACCTGGATGCGATTGGAGACTATTATTCTAAGTGAAGTAACTCAGGAATAGACAACCAAGCATCGTATGTTCTCACTCATAAGTGGGAGCTAAGCTGTGAGGATGCAAAGGCATAAGAATGATACAATGGACTTTGAGGACTCGGGGGAAAGCGTGGGAGAGGATAAGGGATAAAAGACTACACTGTACATTGTGTACACTGCTCGGGTGACAGGCGCACCAAAATCACAGAAATCACCACTAAAGAACTTATTCATGTAACTAAACACCACGTGTTCCCCAAACACCTATTGAAATAAAAAAAAAGTGAAAGAAATTTACATGCACTAGGGCTTTTTCTTTTTTTTTTTTTCTTAGTCTCTCGCTCTTGGCTGTTTTATTTCTAGGTTCTATTGGAATAATATGTGAATTCTAATTCTAATAATATGTGACTTTCTAACATTTTATTTGATTAAAAATTTTAAAGCTGATCTGAAATTCACCATAATGGGGATTTACTATGTGGGTAAACAGGACCCACAGACTTAAAAATCATAGAATCTGAGAACAGGAAGCAGCTTATGCAATCCTCTAATTTTGTTCTTTCATTTTTCAGAGAAGGAAACTGAGGATAAGAGAAGTTATGTGATTTGCCTTTAATTACACAGCTACTACTCTATGCAGTGACAGAGAATACTGAATGCATCTGTTTACTCAGACATGTGAACTATGGTGGCTAAAAACAGTTCCGGTGATGTGTAATGTACATTGTTGGGGGTCAGAAAATAATACACCAAAATGAAGGTCTCAGAGAAGCTTTGGAACCAAAAGGTTTTTCTGACTTTCTCTGGTCCTCCGGTCTCTTGCCGCCTCATTCTCCCTTGAGGCTAGCCATGGAGACTAGAATCCCTCCTCCAAGGTGGCTCATAGAAAACAGAACCCTTTTTCCCAAAGCCAGCCATAAACCCCTGAAAATATTACTTTAACTTTACCTCCACCTTTCTGTGTAAAAACTGGTTATAAAGAAATTATCTGACCTACTCTTTTTGATTGTAGATGGCAAGCACCCTTATTCCTGAGAGGGTCCTGTCCCATATCCAGAAAGAAGGAATGCTGCACAGAGACCAGGAAGAATCCAGACAGACAGGCCTTGCTGAGTTTCCCCACTCAGTCTATTTGTATTAGACCATGCATTTTTTGCCCAGTTATATTTCTACGAGGCTGTCCATATTTTGCTGAACCTAAGCATAAACAGGGACAGTTTCCCTGATATCTTTGGGTCTTCATCCTGAAGGCTCCTGTGTCACATAGAAAACTATCATCAAAAATATCTGTATAATAACTTTATAGTCTGTACTTCCTATGGAGCTCCTATTATTCTGCCTTTTGTCAGTTGATTTTAAGCGAACCTTTGGAAAGATAAGGGAAGTTTTCCCTAGGCCCCTGTAACATGTTATGTTTTAGAGATTTCAAAATTATTCAGAGGCTTTTGTACATTTTGAATATTTTCATGGCATCACACATGTTCGTGTGTGTGTGTGTGTGAAACTTGGCATAATTTTAGTATTTTAACTTTCACTAGGTCATAAAATGATTTAGCTTTATATTTAGAAAAAATCTTAAAACTCTGTGGTTAGTTAGTACATAGTGATAAAAGAAAAACTTCAGCCAAATTAAAGGAGTTTACTTGAACAATGAATAATTCCTGAATCAGGCAGCCCCAAAATCACAGCAGATTCAGAGACTCCAGTGCAGCCACGTGGTAGAAGAAGATTTACAGAACAAAAAGAGGGAAATGACTTAGAGAAATCAGCAGTGAGGCTGGCTTGGTTACAGGTTGGCATTTACCTTATTTGAACACAGTCTGAACGCTCAGCAGTCTATGAGGGGTGAAGTATGGCTGCTGGGATTGGCCACAGCTATTACTACAGGCACATACTCCTAAATTAGGTTTTCAATCTTGTCTGACTATTAAGCTACGTTACAGTTCATCTACAAGGACACAGATATAGAAGTATAGAGTCCTTCTCAAGCCATATTTAGTTTGCTTTAACAACAGATATGGGTAGAAACATTAAAGAGAGTCATAAAGTATGTTCACTTCATGCAGCTATAAGGTTGGACTAATTGGGCAAAGTAGATAATACATCTGGAAAATTCTGGCAAAAAATCAAAATAAAACAAAACAACCAAATTTACCATTTATTTTCCAAACCAAAATTGCTTTAGTTTTTGCTTATTTTTGTTTAGTTTATTTATATTTGTGTAAAATTCCTACCCAGAATACCTAGTTGATCATAGTGTCAGAATAAGTTATTAAACTTTATAGTCTGTACTTCCTACAGAGATATAATCTTTATATATATATTGCTCTCCGAAATGTAATGGTGTCACTTTCTCAGCAGTGCTATTAAAGTGATTAAGCTATTATGTGTCAAATTATGTTTTTTGAAATTAAAAAAAAAGATTTTGTAGAGATGGGAGCAGTTCTCATTACGTTGTCTAGGCTGGTCTCGAACTCCTGGGCTCAAGTAAACCTCCCACCTTGGCCTCCCAAAGTGCTGAGATTGCAGATGTGAGCCATCATGCTCAGCCTTTTTTTTTTTTTTTAACATTTTAAAATTAATACACAATATTGGTACATATTTATGGGGGTAGATGTGATATTTTGTTGTGTGCATAGACTGTATAATGATCAAGTCAGGGTGTTTGGGGTGCTTGTCACCTCCCGTGCTTATCATTTCCAAGTGCTAGGAATATTTGAAGTGCTCTCTTCTGGTTATTTTGAAATATACAATATGTTGTTAAGTATAGTCACACTAGTCTGCTGTAGAACATTAGAACTTATTCTATCTAGCTGTATGTTTGTACCTGTTAACCAAACTGTCTTTGTTGGTGTATCTGTGATGAACATCTCTGTGGTGGACCTTCCCACCACAGACACATTCTTCCCAGCCTCTGGTAACCATCATTCTACTCTCTCTCTCTTATGTGATCAACTTTTTTAGCTCCCACATGTATGTGAGAATATGTGACATGTGTCTTTCTGTGCCTGGCTCATTTCACTTAACATAATGACCTCTATTTCCACCCACGTTGCTACAAATGACATGATTTCATTCTTTTCATGGCTGAATAGTATTTCATTGTGTATATATACCAGATTTCCCATATCCATTTGTTCACTGATGGATACTTAGATTGATTCCATATCTTTGGTGTTGTAAATAGAGCTTTGATAAACATGTGAGTGGAGGTATCCCTTGGATATACTGATTTCTTTTCCTTTGGATGAATATCCAATGATGGGTTTGCTGGATTGTATGGTAGTACTGTTTTTTTTTTTCCCATTTATTTATTTTATTGCATTTTAGGTTTTGGGGTACATGTGAAGAACATGCAAGATTGTTGCATAGGTACACAAGTACTGTTTTTTGTTTCTCTCTTTTTTAGAAATCTCCATACTGTTTTCCATAATGGCTATACTAATTTACTAATATTTAATACCTGATTGTGGTTTTGATTTGCATTTCCCTGATGATTAGTGATGTTGTGAACTTTTCATATACCTGTTGGCCATTAAATTACGTTTTGATATGATAGCTCTGTAAGGGTTAAGTACTTTTTAGGACATGGACCTGGAATGATTGCCAGAAATCATAGTTTGAATTGAATTAATTTTCAAATTTAGCAGGCATATACTTTCCATTTCTCCATCCTACTAAATAAATTAAAAGTTAATTTACCGTGGTGGTGGGCTTGACAGGAACTGGGAACAGCTTTTACTTTCATTTTCTGGGACCACTCACCTGAACTTGGTAAACACTCCTGAGCCTTTTAAACAATCACCCTCCACCTGCCTTTACTTACACTCACTTTGGAGCAGGCTCTCTTCTCTACTTCCTTTTCTGGGCAGTCCCCAGGGCTGCGTTAGCTTCTTCGCTTGCTTCTATTACAGCATGACTAGCCCAGAGCCTGCCCAAATATGTGGTAGGCTGATGAATGGTCCTCCAAAGATGTCCATGGTCCTAATCACTGGGATCTGTGAGTATATTACTTTTTATGGTGAAAGGGACTTTGCAGATACAATCAAGTTAAGGATTTAGAGATGAGGAGATTATCCAGATGGGCTTAATGTCATCACAAGTTTCTTTGTAAGTGGGAGGCAGGAGGATCAAAGTAAAAAAAAGAAGATGTGATGACAAAACCAGAGGTTGGAGGGATGCCCTTTGAAGATGGGGAAAGGCACCAGGAGCTGCGGAATGTAGGCAGCTTCTACCAGCTGGAAAAGGAAAGGAAACATTCTTCCCTGAGCCCCTGGGAGGCAGCAGTCCTGACAAGACCTGGCTTTTAGACTTCTGATTTCCACGACTGTAAGAGAATAATTTGTGTTGTTTCAAGTTACTCGATTTACGGTAACTTGTTATAGTAGCAGTAGGGAACTTATCCAATTACTATATATATTAAAGCCCTTTCAAGATCATAATACCATGTTAGGTATTATTCATAGTAGCACATCATAATATTTGCAAATCCTTTTCCTTAATATTGTGTTTAAAAATTAAATGTATTTTTAAAAAATGTATTTCAAAGCTTGCTTTAAAATATTCTTGTAGAAAAATCTTGTACTATTTCTGTATTTTAAAATTAATTTATTCAGTTTATACTTATTAAACATCTATTATGTGCAAAAGAGTATGTTCTAGAGGACACAGAAATGTTTAGGACATGGACTTTAATTCCAAGAATCTCATAAGGTTGACCTCTAGAAGCTAAAATATATGCATAAATAACTGTTGCCCAAGTTGGCATATTGTATTAGCTAGCTAGGGCTGCATAATAAAGTATTACAGACTGGGGGGCTTAGACAACAGAAATTTATTTTCTCACAATCCTGGAAGCTAGAAGTCCAAGATAAAGGTATTGTGAAAGAAAAATAAATCCTAGGACCCCCAAAATCACCCAGCCAAGGGAAAAGTCAAGCTGGGAACTGCATTAGGCAAACCTGCCTCCCATTTTATTCCTAGATAAGATAGCTAAAAAGATAAAAGAGCTACATACTTCCCTCACAATTTTCCCATAAGGAAATTGCTTGTGGGACTCAAGATCTTTGCCCTAACACAGTTCTGTTGAATTTTACCCTGGCAACATAAACGGATCCCTTATCTCCACAGGTGCAGAACATAAAGTTATCCCTCTGCTTACCTGAAGCAAATGCACATCTGATTGCTTCCTCTGCCCTATTGTTAATGTAAAAATGCAGAATCACTGAGCCAGACTAAGTGGTGTATTCAGTGGAAGGCTGATCGAGGACTCAAAAGAATTCAATCTTTTCCCTCTGATCTACCTATGACCTGGAGGCTCCTGCTTCGAGTTGTTACACCTCATGGAACTGACCAATATACATCTTACACATATGATTTGATGTCTCATGTCTCTCTAAAATATGTAAAAGCAAGCTGTACCCTAACCACCTTGGCACATCGTCAGGACCTCCAGAGGTTGTGTCACATGCATGTCCTTAACTTTGGCAAAACAAACTTTCTAAATTGATACCTGTCTCAATATTTTGGGTTCACAGGATTGATTGATTCTAAGTCCTTTGCTTATAATGTGCCTCCTCCTTTGTTTTCATGTGGTCTTACTTTGTGCCTGTGTCCTATTCTCCTCTTCTTATAAGGATACCAGCCATATTGGGTTACAGCCCACCCTCCTGACCTCATTTGAACTTAATTGCCTCCGTGAAGACCACATCTCCAACTACAATCAAATTCCAAGGTAAGCGAGTTTAGATTTCAATATAAAAATTTGTGGAGAACACAGTTCAGCCCATAACACATACTAAGGATATGCTTTGGGAAAATTCAGAGAAGAGTGAGATACTCTAGATATTGCTAATGGTAGAATTCACTTACAAATCAATTGATTAACAATGAAATCCTTACTGTGTGTGGTTACTGATACTCTCAGAATGAGCTACCCTTCCCAGAATGCACAGTGACAAAATGGAGGAATCTTGATGAAGACATATGGAAACAGTAAATAAAATGATGGAACACATTTATATCTTCACAAAAAGCACTTAGAACCAAGTACAGAAATCCTTTGATGCATTTGCTCAATTCTGTTCTCAGGTGACAAAGCCAACAGCTATGAGTCTTCTGATGATTCTGCCCTTTTGAAGTAACTAAATTTGCACAATGACATTTACTATACTTTTAGGAACTGCTATGCCTCAGCTTAATGCATCTTTGTTGAGACAAAAAAAGAAATTATTGTTTCCATAAGAGAACCTGTTCCAGGTAAAAGAGAATGACATATTGGATATGTTAGATAAGCAAAATATGCTAAGTTCCTTGGGGAACTAATTAACATATTCCAGAGGAAAGTCCACCCCACAGTTTAGATTCAATTATCAGAGGTCAAATGTAATTCTGTTAGAAAATCACACAACGTTCACAGCAATCCTTTCATGTCCTTATAAACAAAGATGAAAATGCTCAAGTTAATGGGAACTCATTGGAGTTGGTAATTTAATCAACATAATTTAGTGCTCTAATGGTATAGATGGAAATATGTGGACAAAATGGGCAAGACAAGATGGTCACTTATGAGAAAATTTCATTATAAGAAAATATAAAAGTAATGAAACACCATATAAGAGAGTCTGAAGAAAAGATGAATATGATCTTCTTTGATTTTCTAGACACAGAAAAAATAATGAAGAAATTCCAGTTTTAGGTTATTCATTTTTTTTTTGCGCAAGTATCTGCTAATTATGTACCCTATGCATTTCTCACAAGCTATCATTTCAGATAAATTGTGCCTCTAGAAAATTTCAACAATAGTTTAGTTCTCACAAAATAAATGTTTTCATACAAAGAAATAAAATGGGAGAATGGGAGGATGCCTAGTAATGACAGTTAAATTGCTGTCTTTTCCAAAACAGTACTGTTTCCATTGTAGAATAATTGAATTTAATTGTTTAAACTGTGTGTTTTTGTTAGCAACATGTGAATTTATTTAACGATAGTGTGCAATTTTTAGTAGGAGTTACTGGAATTTTTCTAAGAATGTTGATTCACCTGAGATCACATGGTTTTTCAGATACAGTATGTTGGGTTTTAACAAAAACCCCATAGCTAATCACAGGTGAAAATAATGATACCACATAACTATTTTCATTGATGGTATTGGTTTTTGTCTTAGATCTAGCACAACAATGTGTTTCTTAGCAAACACTTCCTATATTCAAGGAGACATTGTCGCACACTTAGTGGAACTGATGAAAAAGACTCTGTAGGATTATCCTTAAGGTACAGAAGGGGTGCTTGCAGACCAGTAACCAACTTATACTTTAATTAAATTCAAAGAAATTTATATTATAACTTAAATGACTGAGGTTGGAAAAAAATGTTTTTGATAATGAAGATGCTTAAATTTAAATAGGGGAGATTTTACAGAGAGAGGATGAGTAACCCAGAGTCTCCAGGCCCAGATATATTTAGCAGATAGAGCCAACTCTATTATTCTATGCCAGAGAGATGGGAAGGCTTTCTAAAGGGGGTCTTAATTGAAGTCAAGAGACATAGAAAAAACAGAAGAGAAACCTGAAGGGCAGTTTCTTATCACTTTAGTTGTATTTGTCCATTTTCATGCTGCTGATAAAGACATACCTGAGACCGGGCAATGTAAAAAAGAAACAGGTTTAATGGACTCACAGTTCCACGTGTCTGGGGAGGCCTCACAATCATGGCAAAAGGTGAAAGGCATGTCTCACATGGTGGCAGACAAGAAAATAGAGCTTATAAACTCCCCTTTATAAAACCATCAGATCTCATGAGACTTAGTCACTATCATGAGAATAGCATGGGGAAGACCTGTCCCCAAGATTCAATTACCTCCCACTGGGTCCCTCCCACGACACAGAATTGTGGGAGCTACAATTCAAAATGAGATTTAGGTGGGGATACAGCTAAACCACATCATTACTCATATGTCCAGTAATCACATAAAAGCACCCAAGAAATGTTTGTGGATCTTCCCTGCTCTGTGCAAAGCCAACAGAAGAGCATATAAAACAAAAACAACACTAACCTTGTGTCTTTACCTAATTGCAGAGGAGCTTCAAGGAAAGCTACTCAATTTACTTTTTTTATATTGTGGTACAGGGGTTAGCAAACCATAGCCTGTGGGCCAAATCTGGTCTGATGACTATTTTTGTATAGCTTATGAATGGTTTTTACAGCTTAACATGTCCAATTTATTTGATGATGGGGCACACTAATTTGGAACCCCAATTAAACTAAGTGCTATCACCCCCAAAAGAATTTCATTCTTCTCATAAGTAGACATGTGTCACAAAATATTATACTCTATTATATATATATATATGAGTATATGAGTATATATGCCTCTTGGCCTGTAAAGCCTAAAGTATATCCTATCTGTGACCTTGTAGAAAATGTTTGCCAACCCCTGTTCTAGTGAACTAAATAGATAGGAGATGCTCTGTGTAATTTCAGCAGTTTGTGATACCGTAGATCCTCTTTCATTAATCTAAAAATGATTGGTAACATTTGTCACCCCATACCATTTAAATACATGATGTTCTTGACCTTTCATCAACTGCTACGTTAATAATGAGCATAACCCTGGGAAATTCTGGGGTTTCATATGGTACGAAGAGAGGTCACTTTGAAGTATGCAGCTGATGGATGGCTTCTCTTACATGTCCCCTTGGTGGGGATCACTAAAAGCCTGGCTCAGCTGGGGCTCTTCACCATGGTGAATACGTATGGCTTCTCCAGTAGGGTGGTCTCAGGTTAATTGAATTTTTACATTATAGCTCAAGACTAGCAGACAGAGTGTTTTAAGAAGCTTGAGTGGAAGCTTCGAGACTTCTTATGACCAAGATTAGAAGTCCTAGAATATCACTTCTACTATTTTCTACTGGTTAAGAAAGTCACTAAGAACAGCCCAAATCCAAGGAGAGAGGAATTAGATTTCACCTCTCAATGGGAGAAGTGCCATACTAAAGAGTATATGACCATCTTTGGGAAGACATAATCTATGATGCCTTCTATTCTTGGTTTTTAAACTTTTTATAGGCCATATATGAGTATGTTAGATCTTTTCATTCTATCCTGTACACTTTTTACTGTGGCTTTTATCATTTTTTTCTATAAATGCATTAATGGATATATTCCATGAAACTTCCTTCTAGTGTCTAAATTTTTCTTCTGCTATGTCCAAACTGGAGTTAATCTCATCTATTGGGTTTTATTTTTTTTGTTGTTATTGTAGTGCCTATTAACAGGCTTTTTATTTAAATGTAACTTTTAATAGATTTTAGTTCTCTAGTGAAATTTTCCATCTTGTCATTTGTTTTCTTGGATATATTTATAATAATTACACAGACCACAAGTAATAACTATAATATCTGGATTACCTATAGGTCTACTTCCATTGTCTTTTTTTTCCTATTATATGCCAGATATTTTGTCTTTTCCAGGCATACCTTGTAGTTTTAAAATTGAGTACCAGACATTGTGTTTGAAAAATTATATAAATAATTGAGGCTTTCATAGATGTTACCCTTCTTCCAAGGAGGATTTTCCCCCCTTTCTAATTAGCAATTAGATTAGGAGAAGTTCACCACAGTTCTACCTGAGGTTGAGTTGGCTCAGAGATGGTTTCAGTACTTGGTAAAATGAAGTCTAATTGTAGTTCACATTTATTCTTAGGATATAGTCCTTCTGAAGTCTTGACTGGAACTATAAGAAATTTACTAGTAGTTTTCCTCCTGGGAGGGCCCTGAATTCTACTTTTTCAGTAATAAGATTGTTGAACACCGTTAGGATTCCTGCCTTTGGACATTACCTTCTTCTTGCCTTCTTAGTCTCTCAGTCCTGCATAGCTGTAGCTTGGAAATCATTCAATGCATCAGACTTCCACAGATTGTTGAGGTCATGTCACCAAGCTTCCTTTCTCTCTGGAATCATGGCTCCTGAAGTATTGACTGCTTTGGTAGCTGCCTGATTTATCCAAAGAGATTTTTGTTTAACTTTTGTTTAGCTGCTCTAATCATATTCGAATTGGAATGCAGTAAGCTCTTTTACTATCACTGAAAATGACCAGTTTTCTTTTATCACAACAATTAATTTTTCTCCTATGTTCAAGATACTTTTTGGTTTAATGACCCGACATTCAGTCATTAGCCTCCCAGACTCATTACTTGGCTTTCTTTGCCACTTTCTATTTCCATTATTCTGTTGTCTACTCTAGCATGTGTCACTTCATGTTACTTTAATAAAATAGTTCATTTAAAATTCATCTATTACTCTCCAGCTACTAGTCTCTGCTCTTGTTACATTTCCTTTGGATTTGCTATAAATTCTACTTATTGATTGCTGTATAACTACCCTGAAAATTAGTGGCTTATGATTTGTTACTTCTTTTACAAGTTGACTGGCAGCTCTTTTGCTCCATGCCATATCAACTGGGGTACACAAGTATAACTAGTTGATGGCTGGGCTGGGTCTGGAAGATTGAAAAAGGCCTCCCCTACCCTTACATATCTGGTGGCTCAACTGGCGTGGTTTGAGTGGCTGGAGCACCTCAGTCTTCTTCCAGGTAGATCTCTTCCTGGAGCAGTCTAAGCTGGCTTCCTTCAAGCATGACAACTGGTTTCCAAAAGACAGAGAAAATAGATGCTGCCAGAGCTCTTAAAGTCTCAGCTCAGAATGGGCACAGTGTCCCTCACTTTTGCTACATCC